ATGGCGGGTTTTGGTATTATTACTGGTGTATCGGTATTGGCACAGTGTATCTGCGTTGCTACGCATGTGTACGCGTGTACACGTGGCGAACCTACGTTGCTATGTGTGTGTGTACACGTGGTGTATCTGCGTTGCAGTGTGTGTGTGTGTACACGTGGTGTATCTGCGTTGCAGTGTGTGTGTGTACACGTGATGTTCCTACGTTGCTACGCGTGTGTACACGCGGTGTACCTGCGTTGATGCGCTGGTGCGCGTGCTGTGTGCAGGGTGTACTACCGTCACCGCTGGGTGAAGAGCGTGCACCCGGTGGTGCAGCAGTACTGCCTCATGTCGCCCTCGCGCTCCGAGTTCCTGCCGCCCGTGCAGGAGGACGTCCTCAAGAGCCGCGTGGTCGTCACCACGCTCAGCACGTCACGCACGCTGTGCCAGCTCAACCTGCCCGCGGGTACACACACACACGCACACACACACACACACTTACACACACGTACACACACACGCACACACACACACAGACACACGCACACACGCACACACACACTGTGCCAGCTCAACCTGCCCGCGGGTACACGCACACACACAGACACGCACGCACACACGCACTCACGTACACACGTACAAACGTACACACACACGCTCAGCACGTCACGCCCACACGCACACACACACACGCTCAGCACGTCACGCACCCTGTGCCAGCTCAACCTGCCCGCAGGTACACACACACACGCACACACACAGACACGCACACACGCACTCACGTACACATGTACAAACGTACACACACACGCTCAGCACGTCACGCACACACGCACACACACACACACGTACACGTACACACAGACACGCACACACACACGTACACACACGGACACGCACGCACACACTTACACACACGTACACACACACGCTCAGCACGTCACGCACGCTGTGCCAGCTCACCTGCCCGCGGGTACACGCACACACACGCACTCACGCACGCACACACGCACACGCACGCACACACGCACACACGCACACACACGCACTCACGCACGCACACACGCACACGCACGCACACACGCACACACGCACACACACGCACTCACGCACGCACACACGCACACGCACGCACACACGCACACACACGCACTCACGCACGCGCACACACACGCACTCACGCACACACACACACACGCTCTGCCAGCTCAATTTGCCCGCAGGAAACCACAAAAAGAAAAAGATCCCCCGTATAACCTCAACAGACTGCAGGGGCAAGTGCTGTTAGCGAGCAGCACCTGTGAAGGCCGGCACGGCACACGAGGGGGTGGGTGGCCAGCACCACGCCTGGCCACCTTTGTCTCCCCAGTGGCGATGATTACACACCGCACCAGGTACTCATTTGAGGCCGAGTCGACCTAGGGGAGATCGCAGGGACCCGGCTCATGACGATCGTCACCGGCGTTGGCCGCGAGCGGGAACGGAACTCGGGCCGCCGGGTTCGTAGCGCGGCGTGGCGCTAACCGCTGCGCCGCCGCTCCCCCCCCCCCACCACACAGCTCAGGCTCGCGGGGGACCTCGTGTCTCACCCCCCCCCTCCCCCCCACTCCCCCCTCCCCCCCCCATCCCCCCCCCCCCGCGGCGCAGGCTTCTTCACGCACATCCTCATCGACGAGGCGGCGCAGGCGATGGAATGCGAGACCATCATGGCGCTCGCCCTCGCCACGTGCGACACGCGCATCGTGCTCGCCGGGGACCACATGCAAGTGCGTGACCTCGCGTGACCTCGTGTGACCTCACGTGACCTCCTGACCCCCCACTGCCCTCTCAAACCCCCCCTCTCCCTACCCCCCGCTCCCTCCCCCCCTCCCCATGTCCACTCCCGACTCTGTGCGTCTTATTCTTTCCGCGACCTCCGACCTGTCCCACCTTGGGGTTCCGCGTGTTTGCTGTGTTGCAAGCCCAGTCACGTGCCCTGCAGGTGCACTTGGGTGCAGAGGGCAGTGGAGTGAGGTGAGAGGGGAGAGGCAGGAGAGTGCGTGGAGGGGAGTAGAGCGAGATGAGAGGGGAGAGGCAGGGGAGTGCGTGGAGGGGAGTGGAGTGAGGTGAGAGGGGAGAGGCATGGGAGTGCGTGGAGGGGAGTGGAGTGAGGTGAGAGGGGAGAGGTAGGAGAGTGCGTGGAGGGGAGTAGAGCGAGATGAGAGGGGAGAGGCAGGGGAGTGCGTGGAGGGGAGTGGAGTGAGGTGAGAGGGGAGAGGCAGGGGAGTGCGTGGAGGGGAGTGGAGTGAGATGAGAGGGGAGAGGTAGGAGAGTGCGTGGAGGGGAGTAGAGTGAGAAGAGAGGGGAGAGGCAGGAGAGTGCGTGGAGGGGAGTGGAGCGAGATGAGAGGGGAGAGGCAGGAGAGTGTGTGGAGGGGAGTAGAGTGAGATGAGAGGGGAGAGGTAGGAGAGTGCGTGGAGGGGAGTGGAGTGAGGTGAGAGGGGAGAGGCAGGAGAGTGCGTGGAGGGGAGTGGAGTGAGGTGAGAGGGGAGAGGTAGGAGAGTGCGTGGAGGGGAGTGGAGTGAGGTGAGAGGGGAGAGGCAGGAGAGTGCGTGGAGGGGAGTGGAGTGAGGTGAGAGGGGAGAGGCAGGAGAGTGCGTGGAGGGGAGTGGAGTGAGGTGAGAGGGGAGAGGCAGGAGAGTGCGTGGAGGGGAGTGGAGCGAGATGAGAGGGGAGAGGCAGGAGAGTGCGTGGAGGGGAGTGGAGTGAGGTGAGAGGGGAGAGGCAGGAGAGTGCGTGGAGGGGAGTGGAGTGAGATGAGAGGGGAGAGGTAGGAGAGTGCGTGGAGGGGAGGGGAGTGAGATGAGAGGGGGGAGGTAGGAGAGTGCGTGGAGGGGAGTGGAGTGAGGTGAGAGGGGAGAGGCAGGAGAGTGCGTGGAGGGGAGTGGAGTGAGGTGAGAGGGGAGAGGCAGGAGAGTGCGTGGAGGGGAGGGGAGTGAGATGAGAGGGGGGAGGTAGGAGAGTGCGTGGAGGGGAGTGGAGTGAGGTGAGAGGGGAGAGGCAGGGGAGTGCGTGGAGGGGAGTGGAGTGAGATGAGAGGGGAGAGGTAGGAGAGTGCGTGGAGGGGAGTGGAGTGAGATGAGAGGGGAGAGGTAGGAGAGTGCGTGGAGGGGAGTGGAGTGAGGTGAGAGGGGAGAGGCAGGGGAGTGCGTGGAGGGGAGTGGAGTGAGATGAGAGGGGAGAGGCAGGAGAGTGCGTGGAGAGGAGTGGAGTGAGATGAGAGGGGAGAGGTAGGAGAGTACGTGGAGGGGAGTAGAATGAGATGAGAGGGGAGATGTAGGAGAGTGCGTGGAGGGGAGTGGAGTGAGATGAGAGGGGAGATGTAGGAGAGTGCGTGGAGGGGAGTGAGATGAGAGGGGAGAGGCAGGAGAGTGCGTGGAGGGGAGTAGAGTGAGACGAGAGTGGAGAGGCAGGAGAGTGCGTGGAGGGGAGGGGAGGGGAGTGAGATGAGAGGGGAGAGGTAGGAGAGTGCGTGGAGTGAGGTGAGAAGGGAGAGGCAGGAGAGTGCGTGGAGGGGAGTGGAGTGAGGTGAGAGGGGAGAGGCAGGAGAGTGCGTGGAGGGGAGTGGAGTGAGGTGAGAGGGGAGAGGCAGGAGAGTGCGTGGAGGGGAGTGGAGTGGAGATGAGAGGGGAGAGGTAGGAGAGTGCGTGAAGGGGAGTGGAGTGAGGTGAGAGGGGAGAGGCAGGAGAGTGGAGTGAGATGAGAGGGGAGAGGCAGGAGAGTGGAGTGAGATGAGAGGGGAGAGGCAGGAGAGTGCGTGGAGGGGAGTGGAGTGAGGTGAGAGGGGAGAGGCAGGAGAGTGCGTGGAGGGGAGTGGAGTGAGGTGAGAGGGGAGAGGTAGGAGAGTGCGTGGAGGGGAGTGGAGTGAGGTGAGAGGGGAGAGGTAGGAGAGTGCGTGGAGGGGAGTGGAGTGAGGTGAGAGGGAGAGGTAGGAGAGTGCGTGGAGGGAGTGGAGTGAGGTGAGAGGGGAGAGGTAGGAGAGTGCGTGGAGGGGAGTGGAGTGAGGTGAGAGGGGAGAGGTAGGAGAGTGCGTGGAGGGGAGTGGAGTGAGATGAGAGGGGAGAGGTAGGAGAGTGCGTGGAGGGGAGTGGAGTGAGATGAGAGGGGAGAGGCAGGAGAGTGCATGTGATTCTTCGTGCCTGAAAGCTTCCCGGATTTTCACGATTATTTTCTCGACGCTCCTTACTTTGGGCTGTGTGGCCACAGCTTTGGAACGAGATGTCGCAATCACCACGATGCGCACATCCCTGCAAGTCCATCCTCGCAGCCTTTGCTTCAAATGCGCCCCTCCCCTCCCCCCCCAAATCTTCAGAATCCGGTCAAGGGACTTGGTGATTCCTCTTGTCGTGCGGCGTCTGCCCCTCTTGTCGTGCGGCGTCTGCCCCTCTTGTCGTGCAGCGTCTGCCCCTCTTGTCGTGCAGCGTCTGCCCCTCTTGTCGTGCGTCGTCTGCCCCTCTTGTCGTGCAGCGTCTGCCCCTCTTGTCGTGCGTCGTCTGCCCCTCTTGTCGTGCAGCGTCTGCCCCTCTTGTCGTGCATCGTCTGCCCCTCTTGTCGTGCAGCGTCTGCCCCTCTTGTCGTGCGTCGTCTGCCCCTCTTGTCGTGCAGCGTCTGCCCCTCTTGTCGTGCGTCGTCTGCCCCTCTTGTCGTGCAGCGTCTGCCCCTCTTGTCGTGCGTCGTCTGCCCCTCTTGTCGTGCAGCGTCTGCCCCTCTTGTCGTGCGTCGTCTGCCCCTCTTGTCGTGCAGCGTCTGCCCCTCTTGTCGTGCGTCGTCTGCCCCTCTTGTCGTGCAGCGTCTGCCCCTCTTGTCGTGCGTCGTCTGCCCCTCTTGTCGTGCAGCGTCTGCCCCTCTTGTCGTGCGTCGTCTGCCCCTCTTGTCGTGCAGCGTCTGCCCCTCTTGTCGTGCGTCGTCTGCCCCTCTTGTCGTGCAGCGTCTGCCCCTCTTGTCGTGCATCGTCTGCCCCTCTTGTCGTGCAGCGTCTGCCCCTCTTGTCGTGCGTCGTCTGCCCCTCTTGTCGTGCAGCGTCTGCCCCTCTTGTCGTGCGTCGTCTGCCCCTCTTGTTGTGCAGCGTCTGCCCCTCTTGTCGTGCGTCGTCTGCCCCTCTTGTCGTGCAGCGTCTGCCCCTCTTGTCGTGCGTCGTCTGCCCCTCTTGTCGTGCAGCGTCTGCCCCTCTTGTCGTGCGTCGTCTGCCCCTCTTGTCGTGCAGCGTCTGCCCCTCTTGTCGTGCGTCGTCTGCCCCTCTTGTCGTGCAGCGTCTGCCCCTCTTGTCGTGCGTCGTCTGCCCCTCTTGTCGTGCAGCGTCTGCCCCTCTTGTCGTGCGTCGTCTGCCCCTCTTGTCGTGCAGCGTCTGCCCCTCTTGTCGTGCGGCGTCTGCCCCTCTTGTCGTGCAGCGTCTGCCCCTCTTGTCGTGCGACGTCTGCTCCAGCGATTTGACAAAATGTTCCGTCGGCGGCATTCCCAAAGCCTCTTTCGGTTTTGAACGCCGCAATTTTTCAGCCCTTCGCCAAATTGCTATCGAATTGCTCCGAACGGCGGGACGTACCCCCCCGATGCATCTTCGTACTCGCTGATGGCAAACGACAAAGACAAAGATCCCCCGTGTAGCCTGAACGGACTGTTGGGGCAAGGGCTGTTAGCGAGTTGCACCTGTGAAGGCCGACACGCCCGGCCGCCTTTGTCTCCCCTGTGGCGATGTTTACACACTGCACCCAGGTACTCATTTGAGGCTGAGTCGACCTAGGGGATGCCCAGGACCGGTTTAGATAATCGTCACCGGTGTTGGTGGCCGTGAGCGGGAATCGAACTCGGGTCGCCGGGTTCGATTCCCGCTCACGGCCACCAGCACCGGTGACGATTATCTGAACCGGAGTCAACCTGAAACGCCATGAGGGAGACAAAGGCGGCCGGGCGTGGTGCTGGCCACCCACCCCCTCGTGTGCCGTGCCGGCCTTCACAGCTGCTACTCGCTAACAGCACTTGCCCCAACAGCCTGCCACAGGCTATACGGGGGGTCTCTGTCTCTGTCCCCGCAAACGCGCACGCGCGCGCGCGTCACAACAATGTTTTTTTGTTTTTTCCGCCGTTGAAGCCGCTGAATGCCTTTTAGCGGGACACTCACGAAATGCGAAAACGACTTCTGTTTTGAAAAATTGGGGAACGAAGAGCGGGGGGTGGGTGGGGGGGAACGTCGTCGTTGTCGTCGCTGAAAAAGCAAAAAAAACAAATAAAAATAATGTTTGTGTCGAGCGTCGTGGTGGCGCACGGTGGCCGGCGGGGGTGGGGGGGGACGGGGGCTGCGGGGGGGAAGTTCGATCCCCGCTTGTCCGTGGCCGCGAGCGCTGATTACACGACCGCCACGTCAGCCGCGGCAGTCGCGACGTGCCGGTTCCCGTGCCCGTGGAATTGGGGCCACCGCCATCGCCACCACCACCACCACTCCCACCGCCACCGCCACCCCCACCCCCACCCCCACCGCCACCGCACCCTTCGATGACGCCCACTCCACCTTCACCGCCACTGCCACCACCGCCACCACCACCGCCACCACCACCCCCGCCTCCACCGCCACCTTTACCTCCACCACCACCTCCACCGCCACCCCCACCTCCACCGCCACCGCCACCACCACCACCACCCCCACCGCCACCCCCACCGCCACCCGCCACCACCACCACCACCACCGCCACCGCCACCTCCACCGCCACCGCCACCACCACCACCACCGCCTCCGCCACCTCCACCGCCACCGCCACCGCCTCCTCCGCCCCCACCGCCACCTCCACCGCCACCGCCACCGCACCCTTCGATGACGCCCACTCCACCTTCACCGCCACCACCACCACCGCCACCACCGCCACCACCACCCCCGCCTCCACCGCCACCGCCACCTCCACCTCCACCACCACCTCCACCGCCACCGCCACCACCACCACCGCCCCCGCCACCGCCACCTCCACCGCCACCACCACCTCCACCACCACCACCACTACCACCGCCACCTCCACCGCCACCTCCACCGCCACCACCGCCACTGCCACCGCCACCACCACCACCACCACCACCACCCCCACCGCCACCCCCACCGCCACCCCCACCGCCACCGCCACCACCACCACCCCCACCGCCACCGCCCCCGCCACCGCCACCGCCACCACCACCACCCCCACCGCTACCACCACCTCCACCGCCACCACCACCTCCACCACCACCACCACTACCACCGCCACCTCCACCGCCACCTCCACCGCCACCCCCACCGCCACCACCACCACCACCACCACCCCCACCGCCACCCCCACCGCCACCTCCACCGCCACCGCCACCACCACCACCCCCACCGCCACCGCCCCCGCCACCGCCACCTCCACCGCCACCACCACCACCCCCACCGCCATCGCCACCTCCACCGCCACCACCACCACCCCCACCGCCTCCGCCACCTCCACCGCCACCTCCACCGCCACCGCCACCACCTCCACCGCCACCTCCACTGCCACCTCCACCGCCACCACCACCGCCACCGCGCCCTTCACCGACGCCCACTCCACGTTCTCAAGATGGCGCTCGACGTCCTAAAGAACGTCCTCCGTGAACTCGCTCGACCCACATGGCCTCCCTCCCCTCGTCATCTCCCTTCCACGCACTCCTCTGTTTGGTCACGGAATGAGTGGAGAAGTGCAGTGCGTCTGTGCGTGTGCGTGTACACGCGTGCGTGCGTGTGCGTGCGTGCGTGTGCGTGTATACGCGTGCGTGCGTGCATGTGCGTGTACACGCGTGCGTGTGCGTGCGTGTGCGTGTACACGCGTGCGTGCGTGTGCGTGTGTGCGTGCGTGCGTGTGTGCGTGCGTGTGTGTGTACACGTGTGCGTGCATTCTTGTGCGTGTGCCACTTGCAGTTGTCTCCCCGGTAGTGCATAGCCAGTTTGCGCGTGCGACTGTCCACGTTGGTGGACAGCCGGTTTGCGCGTGTGTTTACATTCGCATGTGTCTCTGTGTGTGTGTGTCTTTGTGTGTGTCTCTGCGTGCGTGTGTCTCTGCGTGTGTCTCTGCGTGTGTCTCTGTGTGTGTCTCTGTGTGTGTCTCTGTGTGTGTCTCTGTGCGTGTGTCTGTGTGTCTCTGTGTGTGTGTCTGCGTGTGTCTCCGCGTGTGTCTCTGCGTGTGTCTCTGCGCTTGTCTCTGCGTGTGTCTCTGCGTGTCTCTGCGTGTCTCTGCGTGTGTCTCTGCGCGTGTCTCTGCGTGTGTCTCTGCGTGCGTCTGCGTGCGTCTCTGCGTGTGTCTCTGCGTGTGTCTCTGCGTGCGTCTCTGTGTGTGTCTCTGCGTGTGTCTCTGCGTGTGTCTCTGCGTGTGTCTCTGTGTGTGTCTCTGCGTGTGTCTCTGCGTGTGTCTCTGCGTGCGTCTCTGTGTGTGTCTCCGCGTGTGTCTCTGCGTGTGTCTCTGCGTGTGTCTCTGCGTGTGTCTCTGCATGCGTCTCTGTGTGTGTCTCTGTGCGTGTGTCTGTGCTGCGTCTCTGCGTGTGTCTCTGCGTGTGTCTCTGTGTCTCTGCGTGCGTCTCTGCGTGTGTCTCTGTGTGTGTCTCCATGTGTATCTCTGTGTGTGTCTCTGTGCGTGTGTCTGTGTGTCTGTGTGTCTCTGTGTGTGTCTCTGTGTGTGTCTCTGCGTGTGTCTCTGCGTGTGTCTCCGCGTGCGTGCAGCTGTCCCCGGTGGTGCACAGCCGGTTTGCGCGCAAGAAGGGGCTCCACCTGTCGCTGCTGGAGCGCCTCTACGAGCTCTACCCGCCGGCCTTCCCGTGCCGCGTGCTGCTCTGCGAGAACTACCGCTCGCACACCGACATCGTCAGGTAGCCGGCGCCCCGTGGCGCCCGCGATCGGCACCGCGGCTTGCCAGCGGGAGTTCGGCGCGCGGAGCGATCCTCCGCCGGCAACGGGTGGCGCGGCGACGGCGACGCTCGCGACTCGCGGCGGTGGTTACGTTGGAGCGCACATCGGTGTCTCTGTCTGTGTCTCTGTCTGTGTCTCTGTGTCTCTGTGTCTCTGTCGGTGTCTCTGTGTCTCTGTGTCTCTGTCTGTGTCTCTGTGTCTCTGTTGGTGTCTCTGTCGGTGTCTCTGTCGGTGTCTCTGTGTCTGTGTGTCTGTGTCTCGGTGTCTCTGTCGGAGTCTCTGTCGGAGTCTCTGTCGGTGTCTCTGTCTGTGTCTCTGTCTGTGTCTCTGTGTCTTTGTCGGTACCTCTGTGTCTCTGTCTGTGTCTCTGTCGGTGTCTCTGTGTCTCTGTCGGTGTCTCTGTCGGTGTCTCTGTGTCTCTGTGTCTCTGTCGGTGTCTCTGTGTCTCTGTGTCTGTGTCTCTGTCGGTGTCTCGGTGTCTCTGTCGGTGTCTCTGTGTCTCTGTGTCTCTGTCGGTGTCTCTGTGTCTCTGTGTCTCTGTCGGTGTCTCTGTGTCTCTGTCTGTGTGTCTGTGTCTCGGTGTCTCTGTGTCTCTGTGTCTCTGTCGGTGTCTCTTTGTCTCTGTGTCTCTGTCGGTGTCTCTGTGTCTCTGTCTGTGTGTCTGTGTCTGTGTCTCGGTGTCTCTGTGTCTCTGTGTCTCTGTCTGTGTCTCTGTCGGTGTCTCTGTGTCTCTATCGGTGTTTCTGTGTCTCTGTCGGTGTCTCTGTCTGTGTCTCTGTCGGTGTCTCTGTGTCTCTATCGGTGTCTCTGTGTCTCTGTGTCTCTGTCGGTGTCTCTGTGTCCCTGTCTGTCTCTGTGTGTGTCTCTGTGTGTGTCTCTGTGTGTGTCTCTGTGTGTGTCTCTGTGTCTCTGTCGGTTTCTCTGTGTCTCTGTCTGTGTCTCTGTGTCTCTGTCGGTGTCTCGGTCTCCCCTAGGTCGACTCAGCCTCAAATGAGTACCCGGTGCGGTGCGTAGTAAAACATCGCCACTGGAGAGACAAAGGCGGCCGGCCGTGGTGCTGGCCACCCACCCCCTCGTGTGCCACAGTGGCGGCCGGCACAGGCGCTGCTACTCGCTAACAGCACTTGCCCCAGCAGCCTGTTAAGGCTATACGGGGGATCTTTGTCTTTGCGTGTCCGGGGAGCGGCAGCGTAACAGCTGCCGCGCTCCGCTACAAAATCCGACGACCAGAGTTTCGATTCCCACTCGCGGTCGAGAATATTTGAAACCTGGGCCCTCCCCTAGGTCGACTCAGCCATGAGCGCGTACGGCGGCCGGGCGTGGTGTCGGTCATGCGCCTTGGAGGCCTTAGTTGGTGCTCGCTCACAAAACTTGTCCTGCGAAGGCTGTACGGAGGGTGGGGGTCTTTGTCTTTGCGTGCCGCGTGCATCCGAGACATTTCCATCTCGTGCGCCGCTGCTGCTCATTTGCACTGCGGGCTGCTCTTTGAACCGGGGCTGTGGGCCGGCGTGGCTTGATGGCGCTCGTGCGTGATGGATGGGGCGAGCCTTTGAAAAGATTATTCTCGTTCTTTCCGCTGGCAGCGTCGCGGAATTAAATGTCAGCAAACGAACGGGGGGGGGGGGGGGGCGGGCGGGCCGGGAGGGGGGAGGGCACCTTCGTCGCGAAAGTGAAAGAGCGACGCGTGAAATGCAAGGGAGGTTCTTTTTTAGTTTTTACCGCCGTTTCGGCTGTGGGCGCGCGAGCTCGCGAGCGGTCGGCAAACGGGCGACATCACCGCGGCAAGGGGGAACGGGGGGGGGGGGGGGGGGGGGGGCGTCATGCGGGTCTCCGACGGCGCGTTGGCGACACCCGTGCCGAACCGGGGATGCTTGTTCCTGCCCGGTTAGACTCGAGGGGGGGGGGGGGGGAGGTGTGATTGGCACGACGCTCGAGATGGAAAAACCAGGACCATCAATTCCCTTGCGTCCGATTCCCGCCTTTCGCCGATACTCCTCCTCCTGCTGCTGTTCCTCCTCTTCCTCCTCCTCATCTGTCGTCGTCGTCTTCGTCCTGATGTTGCGGTCGGAGTTCACGGTGACCTTCACCTCCCCGCCGGGGAGGAGGAGGAGGGTTACAGGGCGGCAGCTTGGGCCATGTCGTCTGCGTGCGCCAAATCAAACGAAACGATGAAAACTTTATTTCAAATGTTACCCAGGTCAGGGCCCACTGAGCTGTATGTTATAGCTCAGGGGTCGGGAACCTTTTTGACTGGGAGAGCCATAAAAGCCAAATATTTCTAAATATATTTCATTGAGAGCCATATAGTATTTTTAACGTGTAATAAATTAAATATGTCTTACTTTTAATGCGACTTCTGGTGCTGCGTGGTTTTGCTGATGGCCTTGTAGTCTGGTTCGTACGTGGTGAGGTTGAGCTTCGTGCAGGCATTGAGGCCCCGTGAAATTTATCTTCAAAACTAATTTCTGTTTACTTTAAAATGGCACAGTATTATTAAACAATATCACAAGTATTTTAAAATCAGTTCCAAACTGATTTTTTATTTTTTATTATTTTTTTTTCAACTCAAAATTGTCTGGGAGCCATATGCCGTAACTGGAAGAGCCATATATGGCTCGCGAGCCATAGGTTCCCGACCGCTGTTATAGCTCCTTTACAGAAGCGACCTGGCCACTCACGAATGATCGCCTCACGAAGTCGAGGCTTGTCATCACCACGTGGACATTTGCAGCAGCGGCCAAATTCTCCAAATGCACTTTGATTGTAAATGTGGAGCGGGAAAAAACCGGAGGTCCCAGAGAAAATTCCACGCGAGCCCCGGGGAAAGAGAGAGAGAGGGAGAGACACACAAACTCCAAATATAGAGCAAGCGTCAGGGTGCTGAACGAACCCACGACCTCCTGCATACATGGTGAGGTAGTTAACATCTCATAGCTACTATTGCACCCATTTTCATGGTAGAAGGGCTGTAGTTGCTGATGATCACTAATTGGAGCGATGGCTGTATGCCTCATAGCAGTAGGGGCTGTAGTTGCTGATGGTCACTAACTGGAGCAAACTTCAAATATGCAGCAGGCGTCAGGGTTATTATTGAACTGACGACCTCCTGCATACCAGGCGAGGTAGTTAACATCTCCTAGCCACCGTGATGATGATGAGAGAGAGAGAGACACGCAAACTCCAAACATACAGCAGCAGGCGTCAGGGTCAGGATCTAACCCACGACCTCCTGCACACCAGGCGAGGTAGTTAACATCTCCTAGCCACTGTGATGATGATGATGAGAGAGAGACACGCAAACTCCAATTATACAGCAGCAGGCGTCAGGGTCGGGATCGAACCCACGACCTCCTGCACACCAGGCGAGGTAGTCATCATCTCCTAGCCACCGTGATGATGATGAGAGAGACATGCAAACTCCAAATATACACCGTGGCGCCCGTTCTCGCGGGACGACGTCGGGCGGTTCGCGATGTGACCCCTCGACCCCACCGTCGCGGTCGACGCTAACGACGGCAACACAAACGTCGTGGTTTTGAAGTTTTTGTTGTTGATCTGGCCGCCCCGCAGCCTCACGTCGGAGCTGTTCTACGAGGGGAAGCTGGCGGCCAGCGGGCGTCAGCCGGCGCACGGCGAGCTGCAGCCGCTGGCGTTCTACACGGCGCGCGGGGAGGCCGTGCAGGACAAGAACAGCACCGCCTTCTACAACAACGCCGAGGCAAGGCACACGGCCCTCCCGCCCGCTAGGCAGGGTGGTGGTGGTGGGGGTGGTGGGGATCGTGGTGGGGGTGGTGGGGATTGTGGTGGTGGTGGTGGGGATTGTGGTGGTGGTGGTGGGGGTGGTGGGGATTGTGGTGGTGGGGGTGGTGATGGTGGGGATCGTGGTGGTGGTGGTGGGGATTGTGGTGGTGATCGTGGTGGTGGTGGTGATCGTGGTGGTGGTGGTGGTGATCGTGGTTGTGGTGGTGGGGGTCGTGGTGGTGTGGATTGTGATTGTAATTCGGGTGATGGCCATCGTGGTGGTGGTGGTGGTGGTAGTGATCGTGGTGGTGGTGGTGATCGTGGTGGTGGTGGTGATCGTGGTGGTGATTGTGATCGTGGTGGTGGTGATCGCGGTGATGGTGTGGATTGTGGTGGTGATCGTGGTGGTGGTGGGGATTGTGGTGGTGGTAGTGATTGTGATTGTGGTGGTGATTGTGGTGGTGGTGGTGATCGTGGTGGTGGTAGTGATCTTGGTGGCGATCACGGTGGGGAAGCGTTGTCGCAGCAGTCAGAGCGCTGCGCTGTGAACCCGGCGACCCGACTTCGATTCCCGCTCACGGCCAACAGCGGCGATGAATATCTGAACCGGCCCCGGGCCTCCCCTACGTTGACTCGGCCTCAAACCATTCCCTGGCGCGGTGTGTAAACATCGCTAGCACTGGGGAGACAAAGGCGGCCGGGCGTGGTGCTGGCCACCCACCCCCTCTATGTGCCGCCGTGCCGGCCTTCATAGGCGCCGCTTGCTAACGGCGCTTGCCCCAAGAGTGGGATGTTTAAGGGGGGTATTTGTCTTCTTGGTTCTTTCGGTAAAGTCACATAGAATGGAAACAATAAAAATAATAAAATTAAACATAATAAAATAATTCTCACGACGTTTCGGCCACAACGCAAGCAGCCGTCATCGGGTGAAGACCAGGTCTGTCGGGGAGACAGCGTCTGAATGAAACACCACCACGCTTGGAGCGTATATTTAAGCTGGGTTGGAAGGGGGGGGAAGGGCGCCTTGACAAGAATTTGCATATCAAGAGGAATTTAGCATATTTATGGGAAATGCAGGAATGTGATTAGTACTACTTATGCCCGTGCATTATGCAGGGCTGATGAAGGTGATGGTATAAAGGTGGCAGCCGTCGCTGGGGGCGGCTGTCGTAGCCGCAGAGCGCAGCAGCACCCCATTGGAGGGGGCTATTCTTGGCTGCCCCCCTAAAGCCGCGCTCGCGTCAACGACGCCGGCAAGAAGCGGACGCGACGCTGACGCCGCGTCTCGGAAAAAAATCTGATTGATTTCCCCCCCCCTCCCCCCCCCACTCTGCGCGTTAGCTCCCATCGCCTCCCGGCGTGATTGCGGACTGCGATCGCTCCCCCGCGTCTCCCTCTCCGCTTCGCTCCCCTCGGCTCGCTAGCGCGGCGCACCCCTTCACCTCGGGGTTTGATTCCGCTGTTCGATTACTTTTCTCGGGTTTCAGATCGCGCGAGTTGGATGTTTTTTGTCGTGAACTCCACCTCCCCCTCCTCCTCCACCTCCCCCTCCTCCTCCCCCCCCTCCTCCTCCCCGCTCCCCCCGTCCCCCCTCCGCTCTTCCACCCGACACGGGCGATTTTAATGAAGGCGGCGGCGCCACCGTCACCGTCGTCGTTGTTGGAAAGCGATGCAACGCACGGCACCGGCGATGACGCCGGTCGCCGTGAAAGCCGCGACCGTGTTCAGTCGCGGAGCCCCTCGGCACCCGTCGCGATCGCCGATCTCCCTCCCGTGACGGACTCACGTCAACTTCCGCGCCGGGAAGATCGGATCAAAGCACAGGCGCCACGGTGGCTAGGAGATGTTAACTACCTCACCTGGTATGCAGGAGGTCGTGGGTTCAATCCCGACCTTGACTCCTGCTGCTGTATATTTGTAGTTTCCGTGTCTCTCTCTCATCGTCATCACGGTGGCTAGGAGATGTTAACTACCTCGCCTGGTGTACAGGAGGTCGTGGGTTCGATCACGACCTTGACTCCTGCTGCTGTATATTTGGAGTTTGCGTCTCTCTCTCCCTCCCCGCGGTCACGTGGATTTTTGTCCGGGTCCTCCGTTTTTTCCCCTTCACATTTAGAACCGAACGTGCGTTCAGGGTTATTTGTCCGCGATACGTTTCCACGTGATGATGATGATAATGGGCCACTTCGTTGGGGCTAGCATTTGTTCCGGCCCAGGTCGCTTCTGAATAAGTGCCACTCCATAGCCCAGTGGGCTTTCCCTGGGTAAGATAAAAAGTTTTTAGTTGAAACCCCCATCGACCTCTGAATCGCAAGTCCGGCACGTACCGTGCAGACGTTTAAATAACGAACGCCGTCGCCCGCTAATTGCATTCTGGCCTAATCCCCCCCCTCCCCACCCCTCCCCACCCCTCCCCACCCCTCCCACCTTCCGCGCGTCCCACCATGACGGGGCGACCCACTCTGCCAAGACGCATCGCGCTCGCCCGTAAACACGTCGGCTTCATTAACATGTTTACGGTGGCAGCGGTGAGCTTAAGTGCACTCCGCCTTGACATTGCGTGGGCGGTGACGGAGCGGCAAATTAATGGTTTGGGAACGGGCCGGGCGAGAGAGAGAGCAGCCCGGCGGACACGAGAGCTGTGAGGTGGTGGTGGGGGGGGAGGAGGCTCCTAAACCTGCCACTATCCGGGGCTGACTCGCCCGCCCGCTCGCCCGCCCGCTCGCTCAACAAAGCGATGGCCTCTCAAAGGACGGCTCGGCTCAATGGCTTCTCAGTTTGTTTGTTCATGCTCCCCGTCCGCTTCAGCGATGTTTTAATTTTACTTCTTGGTTCTTTCGGTAAAGTCACGTAGAACGGAAATAATAAAATAATAATAAAATATAATAAAATAATATAATGAAATAACATATTATGTTTTATTTTTATTATTATTCTTATTTTATTATTTCCATTCTACGTGATGACTTTACCGAAAGAACCAAGAAGATGAATCCCTGCAGTCACGAAAGCTTTAAATCGAAGTTTTAATTTTTGGATAATCACCCTCCCTCGCCGCCGCCGCCGCGACGGTGTGCCGCTCGTGTGTCGCGATTCACACCGGAGGAATCCGATGAGCTATTAAGCTCTTTTTCACAGATGTATCCGGGTTCAGCGCGGTGGGCTAGATATGCCCGGGGGGAGGCGGGGTATCTGAGTAGTCTGTGTGTCTCCGCGTGGGTCTCTGTGTGAGGAATCTATAGATCTGTGTGAGTCTATGGGTCTCTGTGTGAGGAGTCTATAGATCTGTGTGAGTCTATGGGTCTCTGTGTGAGGAGTCTAAGGGTCTCTGTGTGAGGAGTCTGGGTCTCTGTGTGAGGAATCTATAGGTCTGTGTGAGTCTATGGGTCTCTGTGTGAGTCTGGGTCTCTGTGTGTCTCTTTGTGGGTCTCTGTGTGAAGAATTTATAGGTCTGTGTGAGTCTGGGTCTCTGTGTGAGTCTGGGTCTCTGTGTGTCTCTTTGTGGGTCTCTGTGTGAGGAATCTATAAGTCTGTGTGAGTCTGGGTCTCTGTGTGAGTCTGGGTCTCTGTGTGTCTCTTTGTGGGTCTCTGTGTGAAGAATCTATAGGTCTGTGTGAGTCTGGGTCTCTGTGTGAATCTGGGTCTCTGTGGTAGTCTATGGGTCTCTGTGTGTGCCTATGGGTCTCTGTGTGAGTCTGGGTCTCTGTGTGAGTCTGTGGGTCTCTGCGTGAGTCTGTAGGTCTCTGTGTGAATCTGGGTCTCTGTGTAGTCTGTGGGTCTCTGTGGTAGTCTATGGGTCTCTGTGTGTGCCTATGGGTCTCTGTGTGAGTCTGGGTCTCTGTGTGAGTCTGTGGGTCTCTGTGTAGTCTGTGGGTCTCTGTGTGAGGAGTCTATGGGTCTCTGCGTGATGCCTTTTGGGTCTCTGTGTGAGGAATCTATGGGTCTGTGTGAGTCTATGGGTCTCTCTGTGTGCTTATGGGTCTCTGTGTGAGGAGTCTGGGTCTCTGTGTGAGTATGGGTCTCTGTGTGAGGAGTCTATGGGTCTCTGTGTGTGCCTATGGGTCTCTCTGTGAGGTGTCTATGGGTTTCTGTGTGTGAAGTCTGTGGGTCTCTGTGTGAGGAATCTATATGTCTGTGTGAATCTGGGTCTCTGTGTGAGTCTGGGTCTCTGTGTGAATCTATGGGTCTCTGTGTAGTTTGTGGGTCTCTTTGTGAGTCTATGGGTCCATGTGTGAGGAGTCTATGGGTCTCTGCGCGGGAAGTCGGTGGGTCTCTGTGTGTGCGAATCTGTGGGGTATCGGTGCTCCAATGCTACGCTTGAGGACCTGGTCTAATCGCTGTGGTTGGGTGGCTGGCACCTGCCTTCGAACCCCGGTCCTCAGCGGGACCCGGCACAACCCTTTGGCTTTCCGAGCAGCTCGGCCACCTCGACACGACCCCACGGAGGTGGAGCAATGGGGTCGACCTCCCACCATCAACGCCATCAACACCACCAAAGACTAAAGATCCCCACGTGTAGCCTTAACAGAGTGTAGGGGCAAGTGCTGTTAGCGAGCACCTATGAAGGCCGGCACTGTGGCGCACGAGGGGGTGGGTGGCCAGCACCACGCCCCGACCGCCTTTGTCTCCCCAGTGCCGATGTTTACACACCGCACCAGGTACTCATTTGAGGTTGAGTCGACCTAGGGGTGGCCCAGGTACCGGTTCAGATAATCGTCACCGGTGTTGACCGTGAGCGGGAATCGAACTCGGGGCGCCGGATTCGGAGTGCAGCGCTGACCGCTACGCTACCACTCCTCACGAGCACCACCAACAGCGCCACCAACAGCGCCACCAACAGCACCACCAACACCGCCACCAACAGCGCCACCAACAGCGCCACCAACAGCATCACCAACAGCACCACCAACAGCGCCACCAACAGCATCACCAACAGCGCCACCAACAGCATCACCAACAGCGCCACCAACACCACCACCAACAGCGCCACCAACACCACCACCAACAGCGCCACCAACAGCACCACCAACAGCACCACCAACAGCGCCACCAACACCACCACCAACAGCGCCACCAACAGCATCACCAACAGCGCCACCAACAGCACCACCAACAGCACCACCAACAGCGCCACCAACAGCGCCACCAACAGCGCCACCAACAGCGCCACCAACAGCACCACCAACAGCACCACCAACAGCGCCACCAACACCACCACCAACAGCGCCACCAACAGCGCCACCAACAGCGCCACCAACAGCACCACCAACAACCGCCATTTGCCACTAAGTGGCGGTGACGTCACCACGACGCTTGTGCCAGGCCATGTGCACCTTGAGGCTACCACTTGAAGTGTCGAACGCCCGCTGGCAGGAGGTCACGGGGCAGACCCAGCAGGTGCCACAGGTCGACTGACTGAGATGACCGAGATGACTGGCTGATGCACCACCTGTGCCCCCTACTGTGCCAACTTGTTGTGCTTTAGCCACCCGGCGCTTCGCTCGTTGTTGTGAGCGTTGTTGTTGGAGGGCGACTGCCTCCAACTGCCCAGTAGCGTCCTTCACGAGCCTCCTCCACAGAGGCCGATCTTGACACCACCAATAGCACCACCAACAGCACCACCAACAGCACCACCACCAGCACCAACATCCATCATCACGATGACCAACAGGAACTGCGCCGCCAGCAGGATTGTCGTTAACCTTGTCTCTGTGTGTGCGTCTCTGCGTGTGTGTGTCTCTGTGTGTGTGTGCGTCTCTGTGTGTGCGTGTCTCTGTGCGTGTCTCTGCGTGTGCGTCTCTGTGTGCGTGTGCGTCTCTGTGTGCGTCTCTGCGTGTGTGTGTCTCTGTGTGTGTGCGTCTCTGCGTGTGTGTGTGCGTCTCTGTGTGTGTGCGTCTCTGTGTGAGTGTGTGCGTCTCTGTGTGTGCGTGTCTCTGTGTGTATGCGTCTCTGTGTGTGTGTGTGTGCGTCTCTGCGTGTGTGCATCTCTGCGTCCCTGCGTTGCGTGCGTGTGTGCGTGCGTCTGTGTGTGTCTGTGCGTGCGTCTGTGTGTGTGTGCGTCTGCGTGCGTCTGTGCGTGCGTCTGTGCGTGCGTCTGTGCGTGCGTCTGTGTGTGTCTGTGCCTGCGTGCGTCTGTGCGTGCGTCTGTGCGTGCGTCTGTGCGTGCGTGCGTGTGTGCGTGTGTGCGTGTGCGTGTGGCAGGTGTTTGAGCTGGTGGAGCGCGTGGAGGAGGTGTGCCGCAAGTGGCCCGTGGCGTGGGGGAAGCTGGGCGAGGGCAGCGTGGGGGTCGTGACCCCGTACGCCGACCAGGTGTTCCGCATCCGCTCGCAGCTGCGCAAGAAGCGGCTGTACGACGTCAGCGTCGAGCGCGTCCTCAACGTGCAAGGTGGGCGCGGCCACGGCCTCGCGGTCGTCGTGGCGACGGCCTCGTGGTCGTCGCGGCGACGTCCTCGTGGTCGTCGCGGCGACGGTTTCGCGGTCGTCGCGGCGACGGTCTCGTGGTCGTCGTGGCGACGGTCTCGTGGTCGTCGCGGCGACGGTTTCGTGGTCGTCGTGGTGACATCCTCGTGGTCGTCGCGGCGACGGTTTCGCGGTCGTCGCGGCGACGGCCTCGCGGTCGTCGCGGCGACGGCCTCGCGGTCGTCGTGGCGACGGTCTCGTGGTCGTCGTGGCGACGGTCTCGTGGTCGTCGTGGCGACGGTCTCGCGGTCGTCGCGGCGACGGTCTCGTGGTCGTCGTGGCGACGGCCTCGCGGTCGTCGTGGCGACGTCCTCGCGGTCGTCGTGGTGACGTCCTCGCGGTCGTCGTGGCGACGTCCTCGCGGTCGTCGCGGCGACAAGGGTCCCAGGTCCAACTCCCGACTCGAATCTCCTTCTGCGCGTAGTTGTTGCGTTGTCTTTTGCCGTTATTCTCTGGTCTGACTGACGCTGGTGGTGAGACTCGGCCATACAGAAGGCTGTCGCTGGCGGAGACCAGTCGGTTTCCAAGACGATGCATCATACGTCATTGTCAGGGCGCATTTGTGAGCATGTTTTCTAAAAGTGCCGTGTTAGCGGGTAACGCAGGAACTTGCAGAAATCTATTTACGTGGTGTTTGAACATCTTAACACAACTCTAGAAAGGATAAAGCCTATTCTTATTGTACACCGTGCGTGAGTGAGTGAGTGAGGGAGCGGTGGTGCAGGGGTTGGCGCGCTGCGCTGCGAACCTGGCGACCCGAGTTCGGTCCCTGTTCACGGCCTACACCGGTGACTGTTATCTTACCATAATAATAAAAAGGGGGTCTGTCCTGGCTCCTCCCCCCTCAACCGGTCTATATACGGGGTAGGATCTCTTGTAATCTCTCATTTACTTGATACAGCTATCGGGCTGTGACGGTTCCACCTGAACACGGAAGCTTGTGTTGCCTCCGAAACGTGATTTTATTTTTATTTTATTAATTTAAATTTTTTACCTACGTGACTTTACCGAAAGAACCCAAGAATATGACTGTTATCTTCACAAGTCCCGGGGCCCTCCCATAGGTTGGCTCGGCCTGATCCGCGTACCCGGTGCGATGTGTAAACATCGCCACTGGGGAGACAAAGGCGGCCGGGCGTTCTACCGGCCACCCACTCCCTCGTGCGCCGTGCCGAAATTCCTCGGCGCTTGCCCCGACAGTCCTGGCTCTACATGGGATCTTTGCCTCTTGCGCGCGCTCACAGGCAAGCAGTTCCGCGTGCTCTTCCTGAGCACGGTACGCACGCGGCACACGCGGCGCCACGGCACGGACACCGGCTCCGTCGCCGTCGCGCCGGCGCTCGTCGTCACGGCGACGGGGGAAGGCGCCGCCGCGTCCGCCGAGCAGTGCCGGGACCCGCTGGACGACCTGGACCTGGGCTTCCTGTCCGACCCCAAGCTGCTCAACACGGCCATCACGCGGGCACAGTCGCTCCTCGCCGTCGTGGGCGACCCCGTGGCGCTCTGCTCGCTCGGGAAGTGCAGGTAATGGCCCCCCCTCCCCCGGCGGAGGATGATGGTGGTGGTGGTGGTGATGGCGGTGGTGGCGGTGGGTGATGAGGTTGGTGGCGGTGGTGGTGGCGGTGGTGGCGGTGGTGCTGATGATGATGATGCTGCTGGTGGTGCCGGTGATGGTACTGGTCGTGAGAGTCGTGGTGAAGGTGCTGGTGATGGTGGGTGGCGGCGATGATGAAAGTCGTGGTGGTGGCGGTGGTGGCGGTGGTGGTGGCGGTGGTGGTGGTGGTGGCGGTGATGGCGGTGGTGGTGGCGGTGGTGGCGGTGGTGCTGATGATGATGATGCTGCTGGTGGTGCCGGTGATAGTACTGGTCGTGTGAGTCGTGGTGAAGGTGCTGGTGATGGTGGGTGGCGGCGATGATGAATGTCGTGGTGGTGGTGGTGGCGGTGATGATGAAAGTCGTGGTGGTGGTGGTGGATGCTGGTGAGAGTGACGGTGAACAGCGGGTGGTGCTGGTTGCCGGTGGGGTGACGGCGCTGCTGGCTGAAGGGGTTCTGACGGGGCTTTGGGGTTGATGGCGGGGGGGGGGGGGGCGCTGGTGGTACCGGGGGTATTATCGGCGATATTTCCACAACGCAGAGTTTTTCAGGAACACAACTACCCCACCGTGTAGTCGGTGATGTTGGTGGCAAGGTCAGAATTCCGTGTCCATAATAGGGGGGGGGGGGGGGGGGTGGGGGGCGGCACGGGTTAAGAGCGTTCCAACAACAAGCAGCAGTACAAACCACGATAGTAGTGCGGCAGAGTACGACAAAGGCAAACGAATCGCACCAACGCACACAAATAACGACACGAAACCATTCCCATCCTACCAGGCGAAACCCACGGAGGTAGTAACGCGACATTTCTCAGAAGCGGCCTGCCCGCAGACGATCGCTGAGCAAAGTGGGCCCCGTCGTTTGGACACGCGGTCGGGCCAACGGGTTGCTGAGTTAAATTTCGATTTAAAGCTTCTTTCGTGACTGCAGGGATTCATCTTCTTGGTTCTTTCGGTAAAGTCACGTAGAAGAAAAATAATAAAATAATAAAAATAAAACATAATAAAAGAATATAATAAAATAACGCGATAAAATAAAATAATTAAATAATTGGTCTGTGTTCTGAAAGAATATCGTGTAATAATATAATAAAATAATAGAATAACATCATTTAATAAAATAATACTTTCATTTTTCGATTTAAAGCTTTCGTGACTGCAGGGATTCATCTTCTTGGTTCTTTCGGTAAAGTCACGTAGAAGGGAAGTAATAAAATAATAAAAATAAAACATAATAAAATACAATTCTCACGACATTTCGGCCACAACGCAAGCAGCCGTCCTCAGGTGAAGACCAGGTCTGTCGGGGAGACAGCGTCTGAATGCAGCCGTCCTCAGGTGAATACCAGGTCTGTCGAGGAGACAGCGTCTGAGCGTCTGCCACTCCCCCCCCTCCACTCCCCCCCCCTCCACCACCGTCACCACCACCACCACCACCACGTTCCATCGCCGGCGGCAGGAAGCTGTGGGAGCGCTTCATCGGCGCGTGCCACGACAGCGGCAGCCTGCAGGGCACCACGCTGGAGCAGATCCGCGCGGAGCTGGACGGCGTGGAGCTCAAGAAGTCGTACGTGCTCAACCCGCTCGCGCCCGAGTTCGTGCCGCGGGCGCTGCGGGCCGCCGCCGCCGCCGCGGCCGCCACTTACTTCCCCTCCTCGCCCTCCGCCGGGAGCGGTGGCGGCGGTGGAGGAGGAGGTGGTGGAGGAGGAGGTGGCGGAGGTGGAGGAGGTGGAGGAGTAGGAGGTCAGCACGCGTGGGAGCAGCTGCACGGAGGACTGCCCGACGTGATCACGCACAAGCCGCACTCGCCCTCACAGGTGCCGCCCCCGTGCCCACTTCCTCCCCCTCCTCCTCTTCCTCTTCCAAATCCTCCTCCTCCTCCTGACCTCCTCATCCTCCTCCCAATCCTTCCACTCCTCATCCTCCTCATCCTCTTCCAACTCCTCCTGCTCCTTCTCATCCTCCTCCCACTCCGCATCCTCCTCCCAACTCCTCCTACTCATCCTCTTCCAACTCCTCATCCTCCTGACCTCATTCTCCTCCCACTCCTCCCACTCCTCATTCTCCCACTCCTCCTCCTGACCTCCTCATCCTCCTCCCACTCCTCCTCATGCTCCTCCCACTCGTACCCCCTCATTCTCCGCATCCTCCTCCCACTCCTCTTCATCCTCCTCCCACTCGTACCCCCTCATTCTCCGCATCCTCCTCCCACTCCTCCTCATCCGCCTTGCCGCCGCCGCTCGGCGATTCTGTCTTGTGCGCCGTGCGTTGACGCGGCGACGTGTCCCGAGTGGCAGCCTGGCCTTGCCGCCTACGTTGCGATGGTAGGTAAGACGTGGCCCGCTGGCTCGGAGGTCAGAGACGCTCGCTCGCCTCCGCTGAGATCCCGGGTTTCGAATCCAGGTTGCAGCCACCCGAGGTCAAGTTGGGTTCGTCACGTGCAGTGAGTTGATGGTTTTGGCGCGGTCACCTGTGACTCGCGCAGAGAGGCGTACGCTCTCACAGAGACACACAGAGACCCGGGCCTCGCATAGAGACCCGCAGACTCATGTAGACACCAATAGACTCACATAGAGACCCGTAGACTCACATAGAGACCCGCAGACTCACATAGACACCAATAGACTCGCAAAGAGACCCACAGACTCACATAGAGACATGTAGATTTTCGAAATCACCAAAAATAAAGCTACAGCAACAACGTAACATTGATCATAGGAACTGTGATTCAAATTTAACAAAAAACGATGTAATAAACGATGTACGTGAAATGTCGTCTCGTTTGGTGAGGAGGGAGCCCCAGGGTGGCTCGGGAGGTCAGGAAGGTCAGAGACGCTGAGCCCGGCACCGCTGAGGGTCTGGGTTCGAATCCAGGTATCATGGAGACCCGTACACAGAAACCTATACATTCCCATAGAGCCCCGTAGACTCGCACAGAGCCCCCCCCATACGTTGCCATAGATCCCGATAGCGTCGCACAGACTGGGTTGTGATTGAACTGCGTTCTCTAGCGTGGTGAGTTAAGGGTCCCAGGCCAGTCACCGCTTGGTACACACGGAAATAACGTGTGCTTACGATCGGACGTAGGATGGAGAGTCTTGAGCGAAACACTAGGCCGTTTGGTCGTCATTTCCCTATTAAGTGAACATGCCAACGTGCGTGCAATACAACACAGCGGCTCCCTCGGTTAACGACATTTAATCGGTTCCACGAAAACCACCTTGGCCCGACGTGATCGCAAATCTAATATCGGAAATGCACGTCGGAGGTTTAATGAGCTACATCACAGAGTTCTAGATTTTAAGCTTTCGTGACTGCAAGTATTCATATTCTTAGGTTTTTTTCGGTAAAGTCACGTAGGTAAAAAATTAAAATTAATAAAAGTAAAATTATTTTATTTTTATTTTACTTTTATTAATTTGTATTTTTAAATCTTTTATATTAAGTTCGCTTGCTTGCTTGCTTGCGTGCTTGCTTACGACCGTGCAAATCTTTCGGTCGTTTTTTAACCCACTTCCCGTGATCCAATCGAGCTGACATTTTCCACACAGACTCGTTGTGCGAGACAATTAATGTTCGTGAAAAAAAATTCCCAACATTTTACACTTTTTAGGCAAAATTTTTTTATTTTACATATATTCAAATAGAACTCATTCATGGCTTTGGCTGAACGTCACAGTGTAGGAGCCCAGAGCGTAACCCCTCCACAGGCCGTGGCGGAGTAGCGCAGTTGGTAGCGCCCTCGCTTCCCATGCCAAAGGTCGCGGGATTGATCCCCGCGTCCTCCACAGGCGAATATATTTTTAAATCCTTTATATTAAGTTCGCTGCCACGCATATAAAGGATTTATAGTGAAAAACTTTGTTTTTACGGGTTATACTTATTTACCTACGTGACTTTACCGAAAAAACCTAAGAATATACATCACAGACGTTTCGATCGCAACACAAGCGATCGTCCTCAGGCGGGAAAAATTAATCCAGCAGTGGAACTGCTGAATCACGTGACTTTACCGAAAGAATCAGAGTGTATGGATTCCTGCAGTCACGAAAGCTTCAAATCAAAGTCGCTTAATTAGCTCTTTCGTCTCAATTGGTGCTAGAGGCTCAAAAGAAAGCTGTCTCTGGTGTGGACCAATCAGTTTCAAGGACAATGCATATAATATTATAGTGCGTTTTTTGTTTGCATTTTGACCACAAGTATTGTGGTTAATGCAGACGCGATTCCTTGTAAAAAGGTTTTAGTTTTGTTGCCAGAAAAAAGGGGAAAAACCCTACTTTTGTAATAGTAATAGGTTTTTACCCTTTCAACTGGTACAACAACTGACACCTTTATACAAGGAATCATGTTTGCAATAACCACAACACAAGCAGTCAAAATGCAAACAAAAAGAGACAACTCTGATAATGATATGCACTGTCCTTGAAGTTGATTTGTCCACACCCGAGACAGCTTTTCTTAGAGCCTAGTCTCCATTGGTGTTGGATCAGATGACGCCAAAAGGCGTACAACTCAAAGACAGCGCACCATCAGAGTATTGAGAGCTCGGGGTAAGCATTTACACTATGAGACCTTCTTTACCAGTGGCAACAATATAGTAGTAGGTTTTTACCCTTTCAACTGGTATAAAAACTGACACCTTTATATTATCAGAGTTGTTTCTTTTTGTTTGCATTTTGACTGCTTGTGTTGTGGTTATTGCAAACATGATGCCTTGTATAAAGGTGTCAGTTTTTCGATTTAAAGCTTTCGTGACTGCAGGGATTCATCTTCTTGTTTTATTTTTATTATTTTATTACTTCCCTTCTACGTGACTTTACCGAAAAAACCAAGAAGGTGTCAGTTTTTGTACCAGTTGAAAGGGAAATCACTTGATGCAGCTAATCTGGCTGTGACAGTTTCACCTGATGACGGAGACTTGTGTTGCCTCCGAAACGTCGTGATTTTAATTATTTTATTTTTATTAATTTTAAGTTCATTTTTTACCTACGTGACTTTACCGAAAAGAGTATGAATCCTTGCACTCACGAAAGTTTCAAATCTAGAAAGGATAAAACCTATTACTATATTATTGCCACTGGTAAAGGAGGTCTCACAGTGTAAACTCTACCATTGTTGTTGTTGTTTTAAGTTGCCCAATTAAAGGGCTTCGTCCCCGCTTGTGCGGGCCGTCTCCCCGCTGATAACAGAGGCGCGGCAATACCAGCAGCTCCCTCTTTAAAAAAAAAAAAACTTCACGGCTCCGTGATTACAAATTGCCGGGCGCTCGCAAAGCGATGACGGACTGACGCTGCAGATTTCTGCGCGAATGTCTGTGCGTGCATGCGTGGTGGTGAATGTGTGAATATTAATGTGTGCCCGGCTGTGGTGCGGGGAGCGGCGGTGGCGTTAGCGATCGGCGCGCTGCGCTCTGCGCCGCGAACCCGGCGACCCGAGTTCGATTCCCGCTCGTCGGCCGCGAATATCTGAACCGGTCCCGAGCCTTTCCCCAGCTAGCGTCTGATGCGCTGTGTGAACATCGCCACTGGGGAGACAAAGGCGGCCGGGCGTGGTGCTGGCCACCCACCCCCTCGTGTGCCTTGCTGACCTTCATAGGCGCTCGCTCACAGCACTTGCCCCTACAGTCTGTTAAGTCTTTAAGTCCATCCATCCTACGTGTTAAAGTCTTTAAGTCTATACGGGGATCGTTGTGTGTGCTGTGCGGGTGTCTGTTCGCGACGTGTAAACATTTTGGTGGTGTCTGCCCTTCTCCCCCTTGCCCACTCGCACACAAAGACAGATCACCGGAATAGCCTTAACAGACTGTTGGGGCAAGTGCAGACATCGCACGAGGTACTCATTGGAAGGCCGAGTTGACCTAGGGGTTGCCCAGGACCAGTTCAGATAATCGTCACCGGTGTTTGCCGTGAGCGGGAATCGAACCCGGGTGGCCAGGTTCGTAGCGCAGCATAGCACTAACCTGCTGCACTACCGCACACACACAGACACTCAGCCCCAAATACACGGAAATCCACACATACCCACGCACACGCACACACTCCGCTTATCTGTTTCGCCGATCTAGTTCAGACCGACTTTGCCACATATCTCACCTCGGCACATTGGCGACCGGTTGGATTTAAATTGCAAACCTTGCGCTTACGAATGCTCCTATTCGAGTACGACCGTCTGCTTTGGCAAACGCCAACTTTGAAGGTTCGCCGGGGCGGTATCGACGCCCTGAGATGGAACTCAAGTCCATCGCTCTCTTCCCCGCCAGGCGTTGCGCTAACTGCTGCGTCACTGCTCCCCAAAGACAAAGATCCCCCGTGTAGCCTTAACAGACTGTAGGGGCAAGTGCTGTTAGCGAGCAGCACCTATGAAGGCCGGCACGGCGCACGAGGCGGTGGGTGGCCAGCACCACGCCCGGCCGACCTTTCTCTCCCCAGTGGCGATGTTTACACACCGCACCAGGTACTCATTTGAGGCTGAGTCGTCCTAGGGGAGACCGAGGCCCAGGACGGGTTCAGATAATCGTCGGCCGTGAGCGGGAATCGAACTCGGGTGGCCCGGATTCGTAGCGCAGCGCGCTAACCGCTACTGCACCACCGTTCCCCAAACGCACACACACACAAGCGCGCGCGTGTTCAAATCTAAATGCAAAGCTCCTCCGTGTCCGAGTTAATCGAATGCGACGAGGGACAGCTTGTGGCATCGGGTCTGTCGGCCCCGGGGTCTGCAGCTGTTTGCACCGCCTCCTGCTCCTGCGCTTTTGTGTGGCGCAAACGTCGTCGCGGCGTTGTGGAACAGACGGATACTAAAACTTCGATGTAAAGCT